CTTTGACTGAATCTGCCTCTGCAGCTAAATATTTACAAACCCTTTCTTTTTGTAAAACAGCATCTCTCTGATCCATTTTGTACAATGCCAGCTTACACCAAATACATTTTATTTGTATCTTTTTGTACTGAAATATACAGTACACTTGACATTTCTAAAGCATTTCAATCCAAATCTGTTGTCATATTCCATTGACTTTATTTTTTCTTAAGCCCATAATATTGGTAAATCTGAGCTAATCAGCTTTTTATAGGCAGTTAGCACTGCAGACAGCACACAAATTGCATATGCACAAGTACAGTCCAAATCATTTGGATGTTTAAATAATAGAGGAAGGCAAATCAAATCAATGTACTTGTTTCTTGGCTTACAGAAATGGTGACACTTCATTTAAGAACTAATAAGTATAATCAATATCATGTACAGTAGATCTTATTATGCACATTGTTGTCATTGCATTAAGAATAAACCTCATGGTATCCATTTGAGGTATGTACAAATACCTACCTACCAGTAGATTTTTTTTTTGCAGTATTTAAATGCTTGTCTGTAGGAATGTGAGTGAACTGTGCACTGTCAAATGAAGCATGTGATTGCAGAAATGGGTCAAAGCTTCAGATATTCTGTGGGATCAGTTAATTTGTGTGGAAGTGTTTAGAGCAATTGATCAGAGTTGTGTAAATCAATTAAAAGGATTTGTCAAAAACAAGTGAATAGTATTTTTTAAATAGTCATTTAATGGTGTATTATTATCCTTAAAATGATGACCAAGATGAAAAGTGTAAAGTGTAAAAGTTCCATTGGAAAAACATACTGTATATTCTTTGTCAGATCTGTATACATTAAGTATGTCCTTTTTAAGATGAAATCTGAAGTGTGCAAATGCAATGAGTAAAGAATTTCCAATTCTTTGTTATACTGTACTTGTTAGCTTTTACAAATTGTGGGTGTCTAATTTATTTAAGAGACATACTATACATCAAAAACTAATGTTTTCTCAGTTAAAGCTCCCTCTACAATGGAGTTATTGTCATTTCTCTTTGAAATGCTATTGATGTTATTCAAGCTGCACTCTCAGATAATGGAATTTTAAGTGCCCGGTGATTAATAATCATAACAAAATTGGACCCTGCAGTGTCCCTCTTCAGCTCATTTCAAGAACAAGCTATTTTTTCACACTTTCACACAACATAGTGTTAGTGTGAGCAGATCGTGCATTGTTCTGGGGCAGAATAATTGTATCTCCTGACCTGCACATGCCTAAGACTCCATAACAGAAACCTGACAATCGGAGGCTGAGATACAAATCAGGGTAAAAGCGCCCAGAGATGGTCCAAGGAAATGCAATGTCAGCTTTTGGAAGAATTTCTTAAAGCTTTGTTCTGCGTGGACTTTCCTTGTAAAAGGGCCTCACAATTTGACTTTTCATCTGGGAGTAAATTTTTGGGATTAGCAAAGCTAAATGCTGCTTATTTTCTCTAACAGGAAAGATCAAATGATTTTGACCACCATGGTGAACCAATATAGAATTGACTTTTCTTCTCCCCTGCAAGGAGAGAAAAGAGAGCAGTGTCTGGATGAGCAAATCATGCTGCTTTACAATTAGCTTCTTGCAGCTGGTAATGACTTACTGTACCTGCAACACCTGGATAATCATGGCTCTTCTGCACAATTTTCTGAGAAACACAAGGGCAACATTATCATTCCTGGAGGTCTTTCCAATTAGGTGACATGTTTAAGATTAAGGAAGAGTTTTAATTTTTAACCATTAAATAAACTAAATTCAGATGTGCGTTTTTAGTTTGCCTTTCTGCAAGTTCCTAATTATACATATGCAGGTATTACCTAAGAGAGTAAGCAGTGCATTCCTGACAGACTTTGGAAAATTGTGATATTGAAGTTTTGACTGCATACAAGACAGTTGTTGAAAAGAACGAGTCTTCAGTTTGAAACATCAGTTCTCTTTTATCTAGAGATACCAAAGTTAAAAATGAAGGTTGACAGGACGTGGTTTATATGGTGTGCATACAGGATAGGTCTGCTGTCAAGAGAAAAATACCATTAAGAGGTGATGTCATGATTTGACAACATTCTGACACACATCAAATGATTATTGCTCTTAGTAATTCAGTTTGTATTATAGATTTTTTCACCTATCACTATGCACATATTTGCTCTTTCTATTTTCCTTTTGTTTTTATAAAGTCAGTTATTGTCACTGGAAAAAAAGTAGAGCCCATCACCACTGTTGAAAGCAGGCAGCGGTTTTTGAAAGCAGCTATAAAACTTGATTTAAATTTCTCAGTCCTGTAAATATTAATTATTTCAAGAGTGAGTGATGTTCAAAGGTTAAGATGCCTCTGTGTGCTGTTTTTCCATTTTCCAAAAGCCACTTATGAAAAAAGTTAAATGAATAACATAAGAGTAGTGTTGTTTCTTTTAGTCTTTGGGGATTCTGCAACAAGACAGATCGATTCTCAGTTCTTCCCATTTCTTCATTTTTCCCTGGAAATGCTGGAGATGGTTGTCATTCTCTTTCAAAAACTGAGATGGAATTACCTTTAAAAAGCACCTAAAGCTCCAGAGTGTTCTGCTGTGACAGGGTTAAACTTTTCACCATTGCATTGACAAAATATTGGAGAATGTTTTAAGCTTACAGGCCAGGGGAGTTCTGAGGTGAAAGGAAAGCAGAATGTTACATAATTTATCAGTACTGCAAAGCACTAGCTGTCTTGACAAGTGGTGAACTGCACTGGAGACTACCACTGGGCTGCAGGCAAACAGGTACTGTACAAGAAATGAACTCCAATCTGCGATTAATGAAGAAAGTCCCTGTGACCTGACAGACAAGATTGGATTGATGATGTGTTTCTTTTGTTTTATTACTACCAGAGGAATATAAGAACAGTTAGAAACAAGAGGAAGCCATCTAGACTCTTTGGTAGTTAAATCCATTAATTTATGAGGTCTTTAATTATTGTTCAATCATAGTCATCATCCTCTAATTAAAAATGAGGTTCACAGTAAAGGTCCTCATTGATGATCTCAATTTTTATTATTCTTTCTTTGTTTTCACTGATAAATCTCTCTTCTAGGATTGTCTCAAGAAAACATCCCAGATTTAAAAAAATGTTTGGTTTCAAATTTGGTATGCAAGGTTTGTGCACATTGTTCAGAAGTGGCTTTCTAGGGATCTTGCACAGAACTGCTTAACTGAGAAAGCCAATTTGCTGTTTCTTATTCAGTGAATCAATTCAATCATACCAACAAGAGATAAATTAATTGTTATTAATTGTGTAATACTTGTGATGTTTAAAATAGTTCCATATACTGCATCATTAGCACCCTTTACTAAAACCATGTGCTTTTTATGAAAACAAAATCTAAAGGAAAGTGCATGTGATTTAACAATGCATCAAAACTTTGTACTCTTGCTAAAAAACTACGAGACACTTTCAAGTTCTTATTGTCTACAATGTCTGCTTGTTTATCTCTGTTTCCCCTTTATTTTGCAATGGAGTGTAGTAGAATGGCAGATAAAGTATATATTGAATATAGATTTCTGAATATATTCCTTACAGAATCACATTTTAAAACTTCACTAAGAGGTTGTCATAATGTAGTTGAGGCTACACAAATATCTGGGGCTTTGATGTTTATTTCCAAATGAGATATTTAAGATATTCCTTAAAAATGAATAGCTTGTGTTGCATTGTCCCCTGGCATGTTAGCTGTTGAAAATTGATGATTGGCCAGCATCTTCAAACAGTAGAGAATGCTCAATAAGGGGAAGGCTTTGCTGTGTTTCCACAGAGGCGAATAAGTCTTCATTTAATAAAATGAAAGAAAAACAAAAAATAAACACAGAATATTTAAATACCACACTCCCCTTCTTTTTTATTATTCTTTCCAAAATGGATCTCTAGACACTTGTTCACTTGTCCATGAGCCTCTCTTATGCTGTTTATGGAGATCAAAGCCTCTGGAAATCACTGAAATCCCTCTTCTGAGGTATTTGCAATGCCTTTGCCTTTACCCTCAGCACTTTTGAATAACCTGATTGAGTGTGAGAACCCTCTGGCCTCTCTGAACCTTAATATCTCTGTTCAGGGAGCTATTGTGATTCATAACCCTCTGCCTCTGCAGAAGCAATGTTCTTTTTTTACTTGTGGAAGCCTAAAATCTCCGACCGAAGCTTGGTAGTTGAATGCAAGCTTGCCTTTGGGCTGTGCAGACAGAAGGAGATGTACAGTACTAAGGAGGAGGAGAAGTGAGCTGACAGGAGACAGGATGGGAAGTGGGATGCAAAATAGGCTAGGAACACTACCTTGTGAAATGCAATATATTCTCAGCTTTCTCTTTTTATATTATACCAAAGTAGTGGGAAAATTCAGCAGTCTACATTTTAATTCATTGGGCACATTTGTATCGCTACTGCTTACAGTAAATAGTGAAAAGATATATTTGTTAGGAACATAAGAACTGTTACTAAAGAGAGGAGTACATTCAGCCTATCTAGCTCATTTGGTAGTTAGTAGATAAGTATTAACAGGATTAGTAGGAGAAGTGCCTTCTGTTTTCCATTTTAGGTGCACTTCTACATAATTACCATTTGTACCCTCTGGTTTATGCTTCACTGTTCATTTTGAAGAAAGCCTCTAGCTTGATTTTGTCAAGGCCTTTGAGGACTTTGAATACTTGTATCAGGTCCTCTCAAAATCTTTCTTTTGAAGACCTTTACCAAAAGGGTTATGGGAGTATAGGAGAAGCTACCCAGTCATGTTGTTGAAGCCAATACTCTTGATTCTTTTGAGAAACAGCTGGGCGAGATCCTTGGATCAATTAACTGCTTACTACCAAACAGCCTAGGTGATAAGTAAATTAGGAGAATAGCCTCCTCTCTTATGTTCTTTTGCAAGAATGTAGTTTGCTACATGATCAGCATGCTCAGAGGCCATTCAGGCATAGCACTGACAGAGATTAAATCACTATCTTTTCAGGGCCAGAGAAGATTCTTGCTTTCAGAATGAGTGGTGGTATGTATGTTTTTATTTATCGATTAATTTCAGTTTGCCTCTGGCAGACCTGATGGAAGACATATGGTGATGTTGTGGTTAGATTTATACGGATTATTGTGTTGTACACTGCAAGTGCAGTGGAAGAATTGTTGTAGTGTAGTGTTAAGAAGGAATGGCCTTTAACACAAAAAAAACTTTCAGTGCACACAGAAGACACACTTACTGCTACCGCTACTTCAGTGATACATTATGGACAATAGTGGCAAAATAAAATATTTATTTTCCAGATATTTTTTAGCATTCTTTAAAAAAGGAATTTTTAACTTTAAACAAGTTAAGAAAGAACATTTAATGAGGAAAAAAAATGTCTGCAATTCTGCTTCCACAATTGAACTAAAATAGCCTATACTCATCAGCAAAAATAATGTGACACACAATGCAAATTAAAATACCTATAATTTGCCATTGCTCATTAAAGTTTTAATCAGACAACCCTGATCATATTTGCAGTAGTTGGCACATTGTTTTTGAATCTCCCACTAGTGACTGGTCTTGGGTTGAGTAAAATGTCACTATATACTGGACTTTACCTTATGCATTTTTTATTTTTATCATACCTTCGGTTCAGAAACTTGAATACGCTTGTTTTACACCTGTTCAATGGGGATCAAAATGTCTTGATGAAAGTTTGTGTCTGAATAAACTATTTTTGCCACACTGATCCTTAAATCCACATTAACTCAAGTTATATGCATAAACAAGATTAGTGAAAAACTTCTCAGAGAAGTGATGCTATTTTATATGTAAATTTAACCAGTACTTTTTGGAAGCTTTTTTTTATTCTTTTTTCCTTTTCTAATTATGTCTTTTTTCCCTTTTAAAACACAACTTCCTTTTCAGTCCAATGTGTTTGCCTGGTTGGTGGTTGAAAAATAAAATGTGCTGTAGTGATATCTGGAAAGATATTCAGCTGTGATTGAAAACAAAAGACAAGAAGAAAAATTAAATCTAATGCACTACTTAAAATGATAAGAGAGTTGAGATCATGCTGTTTTTCTGTGATTGCTCGAGCACTTTAGAACATAGTTGGTTATTCAGGAAAAGGCAGAAAGAAGTAAATAAACTAGGTAGCAGCTTGGCCTAAATGATTCAATCTCTATCACACAGGCATGACCATGCTCCCAACTTTAAGTCACACAGTATTTCCTAAAAGCAGGGGTCAATTCAGCTACTCCTATAGGCCAGATTCCATCACAGGAGATTTCAATGCTACTGGATCAGCTAGAGGATAATGTCACTAAAACAGATTTATTCACCAAATGAGTCCTGTTGTTTTTTCAACAGTGAAATACTTCAGGCAACTGCTTTTTTATTAAGCCACAATCAAATTTTACAATGACAGTCAGGTTTGCCAAGTCAGTTGATTGTAGGTGGTCCTGTGTTTAGTGTTGCTTAAAGATTCAAGAAAGGGCCTGAGGCATTTTGTAGTTTCGGGTGGAGGGGAAAGAAAGCCTCTTGTGTAGAGTGGAAGGAGTGATTACAGTGATGGAAATGAAATCCGTTGAAAGAGTACATCAGGGACGGAGACACTGAAAATTACACAGCATTGTTTTACACTCTTGTCTTCCATTTGCAACAGTTTTTAAAACTGGCAGAGGCAAAACAACAAAGAGAGACACTTGAAAGGTTAATTAGAGGGCTTTGAAATCCATAGAAGCCTGGCAAATCTTTTTTTAAAATAATTTTTCCTTTGTTCCTAGCAAGCCTGTAACTTTGCCAGGTTTATTTTGCTGCTCCACAATGATTGCAAGCAGTACAATAGAAGAGTCATTGCCTAACACAGGTAAACAGTTGGCAACATTACAGAAAGGACAGATTAACCGTAGCTAGAGGGCCTGTAGCAGTCCTCCAGTACAACAAGTTCAAGCTCCTGACCTCAACAGCAGACAGACTGCCTCAGCATCAACTAGGAACCAAGTAAATCACTGGCTTACAGAAAAAAAAGTTTTTTTTTTAATTACTTAGAAATTATAAAACAATTCTGAAGATGTAGTATAAGAACGGTAAGCAAGTCAAGATGTACAGTAAGAACAGTCAAGGCTTTAATATATTTTACACTCTTCTCAGAACTATTTGAGAAGAACATTATTTGAGAAAAACATTTCTATCTGACAGCACTCTAGATGTGATTAGGAGCAGAAGACATGGACTTGGAGGTTGTAGGATTTAAGTAATCTGTGTCAAACTCGAACCTTGTACCTTTCAGACAGTGGCACAGCTCTGAATTGGTATAACTATTTGTGTGCCTGTTGTTTCTCGCAATCAAACAAAACAAGACGGGATTGTACATGTCACTGAGGAGATTGAGTGGACTGTAAAAGAAATAATAAAGAAATGTTAGTGTTTTATAAGCCTTTCTTCACTTTTGTGCTAAAGAGGGAGGAAGAAATGAACACAAACAGGATGAGAGACCTCACAGACAGGCTTGGGGACTTCTCATTATATTCAAGCCTAACCTTCTTGTACACCTGCCTACTCCTGGTAGAAAGAGAGCAAAAACAGATGCACCTGGTTTTCTACAGACATTCTAAGCGCAGGGCCAGAGTAACACAGATGTTGTGAAAAACCAGCTTACAGAGGCAGTACTGAGTCCATACAGCTTAGGCTCCACACCTAGGCTTTTCATCCTGTTGGGTGGTTTTTGGTCTTTTCAGTAATTTTCCTACAGTGATTTTACTTTTTTTATTATGCTGTAAAGGCACACTCATTCCGGTTGTCAAGGAATTGTAAGCTAGACCGTGTAATCTGTCCTGACAAACAGGAGATGTCATCCAGGGGGGATGCAGAAGGGTGTTTATCTGTCACTTCTAGCAGCTGCAAGTCTATTTATTTTGACCTTGAAGACATTACAAGTTCCACTGTGTCCGCAATTGAACAAAAAAAATCTGAATATTTTTCTAAACCACCCTCCAAAGGCAAGACAAAAAGGTAGGTAGTTAGGTAGAAAGGTAGAAAGTTCACAAAGAGTGTAACATCTGCATTTGAAACTAAATCGAAGTCTGGTTTTGTTTCTCATTAGATTTATGTGCATATGTACGGTAGATGCTTCTTTTTAATAAGGCATCCTTTTTAATGTATTGTCATATTGCATAATCTAATATAAAATATTTTACATATACACAAGACAAAAATTAAAAGAGACATATTTTTAATAGAGACATGCAATATATGTACTGTATGCAATCCCCTTTAATACTTCTAGATTTAAATCAAGTCATCTGCTTAACTTTGATCTATTTTGTTATATTTTTTGCTGGTTGGGGCATTGTAGCATGGTATTGGGGCTCTTGTAGATGAAGCTTTTAGTAATAGTTGAACAAAGTGCAAAATAACACAAAAACTCCTAGCTTTGATGACTCCTTAACTAACTCTGCAAAGCAGCTAAGCTGCTTGCTAGACATAAAACCAACAAAACCAAAGATTCCAAATCGGGAACCATGTACTGTATTAAACAGTCTTGACTGATTCATCTCTCAGTTGCTTTCCTCCAGGTCTTTCAGATTTTTCTGAGTTTTGCCTACTGTGGCACAGAGGGTCTGCTGCCTTCTTCCTGGTAGCAGTTAACCTTTGCTTCCTCATTTTACATCACCCATGTCAGACTTGTCAGTTGATGACATCCTGCCGGTCTTCTCATAAGCCTTCTGGGAAATGTTGTTCAAAGAAAGATCCACCATCTTGCTCCCTTCCTGCTGCAGTTTTGCAATGTTCAATTCTAGAGCTCTTCATACAGTTCAGTTTTCAGTTTCAACACAGATAATCATTACATTTATTCTTGAAAGTTATAATAATATTTGATTTTACAAAAATGCAAAAATATAGTATTGTGGTGTATCTTATGCAATTTATATTTTTCTTCATTCAGTGAGCTAGAAGTTGAAGATAACTATTATTTTAGGAACCTTCAATAAAGTTAACACTTTTTAAATGTTGTCTTCTTGTCTTTAAATCTACGTAGCTTCAGGAAGAGAATTATAAAGAATATAAACCTATAATGTGCTTATAAACTTAGGCTTAATAGATGCAAGACAGCCCATGCAGAGATCAGGTATTACAGTAGATCAAAGACTGAGTGAGACTTTAATGTTCTTGGCTGTTATAGAACGACGGTGCTCACTGTTTAACACTGTTTTTTCTTACCTTTAATTTAATGTTTTCCTATCTCTTCCACAGAAAAGATGTAGAAATTATTTCAACTTTTTAAGGGATGGCCTTGGATATGTGCCCATCTCCATTTTCTGCTAGATTGTATAGTACATGGTTTATAGCTGTGTCTTGTTCATGGTATATGGTTCTAGTATTACTGTGTTCTTTTAACTAGGATAACTCCTTTGTTCTGGCAGAAATATTTTTAGTGCCATCACTAGATTCTGGGCAGCACAAAATACAATAGCTATCTGCTGACAATAAATACAGGTGTTGATACGTGCTTCATGCAAGAAGCAATTTATTTAATTGCTTTCTAAATGGTGCTGCCAGTTTCCTAGCTCTCCACCTGCATTTACTGGAGTCAGATAACTTTCTAGAAATTTTACTTGGCTGTTATAGTAGTGCTGGCAAGGCAGGCCCTGGAAAGCAGGTAATATCTTAACACAGTTACAGAACTTGTCCTGAACTTTTCATTTCCTATTTAAAGCCCTCTAAAAAATAAGTATACCCTTCCATGGTTAACCTCAGATGAAGACAACAAGTGCTCAGATGTGGTTCTGTGTCGTTTGACTGTCTAAGAAAACTATTGCCTGGATTTGAGTATATCCATAGGCATAGACTGCTGGCACCACTTGTCCCTGTTTCTGCAGGAGCTGTGGGACATTGCAGCTGAATGCTGTCACCATTACAAATTTCTCATTCAACCGAGCAGCATACATTATTATTGCCAGATATGGGCTAGCATCCCCTGGAGACCTCATTTAAAACTCTTTTTTTTTACTATTCTTTTCAGTATTATTAAAATGTATTTA